ATTTTCGCGAATTCAGACTTGTCGGACAATTTCGTGAGTGGTTAATTTCGCGGTCGGTGGATTATGAAATATTCGGTATTATTCGGTACGAATTATTCGCGTTGTTATCTTCACGGAATTCGCGAAAATTAAACCACCGCGAACGCGACGAGTCGGAGGGCCGGTGGGGAAGGGGGCGCTGGCGTAGCTGATCCTCGTCGTCGGATGTTCGCAGGTACGTGACGATTCACGTGGCGAACGTGCCGCGCTCGTTCATGGAACAACACACCGCCGCCGCGCGACCGATCGTGCTCTACGGCCTGCTGCCACACGAGCAGAAGATGTCGGTCGCGCACTTCGTCGTCAAGCGTTGCCCCGGCAACCAGCAGCCGATCAAGTCGAAGGACCGACTCGTGTTTCACGTCGGCTACAGGCGCTTCGCGGCGTCCGCTACGTTCTCCGAGCACACGACGGGCGGCAAGCACAAGGTGAGCTTTCGATCACGTGTGCGCGTGAGTTCGTGCAGGGGTCGAAGAGAGTTCAAAGTGGTGCCTCCAAATGTCGCGGCTTCACTTAAAATGAAACTTCAAACTTCAGAGTTCGTCACTCTGATGACGACAATGACGACGATAGTGAGAACTATAGAGATAAAGATGAGTACGAAAATGGTGAATTCAATAATTGTATTTGATATGCCGTCGAATGCCGTTATGCATCAGAAAATCATGCGCGCTCACCTTGCGTTGCTTGCTACTGGCTGACGACTTGAGATGGTCGCCATCTTTACACTGTTTCTTTTTTCGTAGTTTCAAAGGTTCCTCCCACACGACGTGGCCACTGTGGCGACAGTCTATGCACCGATCATGTTCCCTCCTGCCTCCGTCATTGTGTTCAAGGAGAAGAGTGATGGTGAGCGAGACAGCGAGAGAGGGAGGGAGGGAGAAGTGTATGTGTGTGTAGAGTGGGGTGGTGTGTGTGTGCACGCGTGTGTGTATGGGGGGGGGGTTCAAACCGGTACCGGAAAACCGTGAAAAGTACGGGGATTTTTCTGAGAAATGACTTTTTTGGGGTATAGAAAAGGTCCATGTGTAAAAAGCCTGGCTTTGGTGTAAATCGCGGTGAAGGAGAAGGCGACTGCTCTGTCTGCGGTAGCAGGAGTAGGAGAGTGGAAGCGATGGTTTAATTTTTCTCGCATGTTTAATCACGGTGGTGCCCTTCGAATACAGTGGAATCCCGATTTTACGCGCTCCGATTTTACGCGAATTCGGATATAACGCGATGAGTCGTTGGACCCCTTTTTTGCTCTTATATAGCCCCCGTATATATAACCCCAATTTAGTGCGACCCCGCTTTTTTCGTGATGACATTTTATGGACTCCGACCATCGTGTTATAACGGGGCTACACTGTATTTGCAGTAGGGTAAAAAATACACGGGAGCGATGAGCGATTCGCTCTTCAAACCTCCAAAATCACTCCCGTAAAATTTTTGACAAGAGCCATTTTTTCCACAGACTAAAAGCAATTATTTCCCTGATTTGCAGGTGCGGTTCCAGAAGTACCGCGGCCTGAGTAGCTTCCGAACGTCGCCGTGGGATCCTAAGGAAAACCTGCCATCGGATTATGCGAAGATCTTTCAGTTTCAAAACTTTGCGCGAACGAAGAAGAGAGTTCTGAAGGAGGCGACCGATGTTGATGGAGTGTTGCCAGGCTGGTACGAACCCTTGCGCGCGCAAAGTGACGAACAAACTTGGATTATATCGATAATCTATTCAGTTATTTTCAATTTTCAGTTTATCCGAATCGCTACGTATTGCGCTGATAAAAATATCCATGATGGTGATGCATCGTAGCAATTCGCAACGTGAGAAGTCCACAATCACGTAAACGATGAAGTTGTTTCGATCGTTTAATTTATTTAATCACCGGGCATTAAGCCACCACGCAAGTGTTGGTGAAGCGTCTCAACCGCACCTGACACGTTGTCGA